TGTAAACGTTTTGAAGTGTGAATTATGGTAAGATTCTGTGGCATTTTTGGGTCACGTAGTATCGAATGAGGGGATCAAGGTAGACTCGAAGAAGATTGAAGCAGTGTAGAGTTGGCCCAGACCATCCTCAGCTACGGAGATCCGGAGCTTTCTTGGCTTGGTGGGGTATTACCGTCGATTTGTAGAGGGTTTCTCGTCTATTGCATCACCTATGACCAAATTGACCTAGAAGGGTGCTTCGTTCAGGTGGACCGAAGATTATGAAGAGAGCTTTCAAAAGCTCAAGACTGCTTTGACTACAACCCCAGTGTTAGTGTTGCCTATTGGATCAGGGTCCTATACGGTGTATTGTGATGCGTCACGCATTGGTCTCGGCGCGGTGTTGATGCAGGACGGTAGGGTGATTTTCTACGCGTACAGACAGTTGAAGGTGCATGAGAAGAACTATCTTGTCCACGACCTTGAGTTAGCAGCTATTGTGTATGCCTTGAAGATCTGGCAGCACAATTTGTATGGTGTTCCTTGTGAGGTTTTCACTGATCACCGGAGTCTACAGCATCTGTTTAAACAAAAGGATCTTAACTTGCGGCAGCGGAAATGGTTAGAGCTGCTTAAGGATTATGACATCACCATTCTCTATCATCTCGGGAAGGCCAATGTGTTGGCCGATGCCTTGAGTCGCAAGGTGGAGAGTTTGGGCAGTTTAGCATATCTACCAGTAGCAGAGAGGCCTTTAGCCTTGGATGTTCAGTCCTTGGCCAACCAGTTTGTCAGATTGGATATTTTCAAGTCAAGCCGAGTTTTGGCTTGTGTGGTTTCTTAGTCTTCTCTTTACGATCGTATCAGGGAACGTCAATATGATGACCCCCATCTGCTAGTCCTTAAGGATACGGTTCAGCACAGTGATGCCAAGGAAGTCACTGTTGGAGATGACGGTGCATTACGGATGCAGGGCAGGATATGTGTGCCTAATTTAGATGGTTTGCGTGAGTTGATTCTCCAGGAGGCTCACAGTTCGCAGTACTCCATTCACCCAGGTGCCACGAAGATGTATCAGGATTTGAGGCAGCACTATTGGTAGATGCGGATGAAGAAAGACATAGTGAAGTATGTCGCTCGGTGCATAAATTGTCAGCAGGTGAAGTATGAGCATCAGTGACTGGGTGGATTGCTTCAGAAAATAGAGATTCCAGAGTGGAAATGGGAGCGGATCAGTATGAATTTTGTTGTTGGGCTCCCACGGACTCAGAGGAAGTTCGATGTAGTTTAGGTGATTGTGGATAGATTGACCAAGTCAGCTCATGTCATTCCTATGATTACTACTTACTCTTTGGAGTAGTTGGCTCAGATTTACATTCGCAAGATTATCAGGCTTCATGGTGTACCGGTATCTATCATCTTTGACCGGGGTACGCAGTTTACATCACAGTTCTGGAGAGTCGTACAGCGTGAGTTGGGTACTCGTGTGGAGTTGAGTACAACATTTCACCCTCAAACGGACAGACAGTCCGAACGCACTATTCAGATATTGGAGGATATGCTTCGTGCGCGTGTGATTGATTTTGGGGGTGCTTGGGATCAGTTCTTGCCACTTGCGGAGTTTGCCTACAACAACAGTTATCAGTCAAGCATTTAGATGCCGCTGTATGAGGCTTTGTATGGTAGATGGTTTCGGTCTCCAGTGGGTTGGTTCGAGCCGGGCGAGGCTAGGCTATTGGGTACAGACTTATTTCAGGATACCTTAGAGAAAGTTAAATTGATTCAGGATCGACTTCGTACAGCCCAGTCCAGGCAGAAGAGTTATGTGGATCGGAAGGCTCGCGACCTTGAATTCATGGTTAGGGAGCGGGTCTTGCTCCGGATTTCACCCATGAAGGGTGTTATAAGATTCGGGAAGAAGGGCAAGTTGAGCCCTAGGTATATTGGGCTTTTTGAGATTCTTGAGAGGGTTGGAGAGGTGGCTTACAGACTTGCACTACCACCTAGTCTCTCTACAGTTCATCCAGTATTCTATGTTTTTATGCTCCGAAAGTATCACGGCGATTTGTCTCATGTGTTAGACTTTAGCTCAGTCCAGTTGGACAAGGATCTATCTTATGTTAAGGAGTCAGTGGCCATTTTGGACAGGTAGGTTCGAAAGTTGAGGTCGAAGATCATCACGTCTGTAAAGGTGCAGTGGAGGGGTCATCCGGTCGAAGAGGCGACTTGGGAGACCGAGCATGATATGCACAGCAGTTATCCTCATATTTTCACCACTTCAGGTATGTTTCTATACTCATTCGAGGACGAACGTTTGTGATCATGTTTAGCCTAGTATCGCATGTCTACGTGCCTTAACTCTTATTTGCAATTTGTGCAACATGCTTAGTTGAATTACCTGCTTTCCTTGATTTGAACTTAATCTTTAACTGTAAGATTCTTGCTGTAAATTCGTGTTTCCTTCGATTACCTGCTGCATATTTACTTTGGGGCTACGAGGCGGTTTCTCAGGAGATCCACATGTATTGCATATTTACTTTGGGACTACGAGGCGGTTCCTCGGGAGATCCTCATGTACTGCATATTTACTTTGGGACTACGAGGTGATTCCTCGGGAGATCCCCATGTACTGCATATTTACTTTGGAACTACGAGGCGTTTACTCGGGAGATCCCCCTGTACTGCATATTTACTTTGAAACTACGAGGTATTTACTCGGGAGATCCACAGTCTTGCATATTTACTTTGCTACTACGAGGCGGTACCTCGGGAGTGCCCCTGTTGTTTACCGCTATTTATTGTGCTTAGACTTCTTATTGTTTAAATTCTCAGTCATTTCAAAATAGTATTACATCTTCTGCCTTATTTTTCTTTTAAACTAGTAGGCCCTGACCTGACCTCGTCACTACTCTACCGAGGTTGGGCTTGGCACTTACTGGGTACCATTGTGGTGTACTCATACTACACTTCTGCACATCTTTTTGTGTAGATCCAGGTTCTTCCCACCATACCAGATTCTAGTGAGTTGGACCGCACGTGGAGACTTCAAGGTATATCTGTCAGCGTCCGCAGAGCCCTCTATCCTTACTATGTTGTTTTCCTTATTTTCTTTAAACTCTGATGTATAGAGACACTTAGTATTTTCTCTTAGAAGCTTGTGACTTGTTTCCACTGGGTTTTGGGAGTTGTAATTATTGAATGATAGTTTTATATTTATATATCATGTATTGAGATTGGAGTTTAATTTATTATTCATTGATTCCGCAAATTGTTAGGCTTACCTAGTCTTAGAGACTAGGTGCATCAGAACGTCCAACGGAGGAAAAAATAGGGTCGTGACACTATTATGCTACTTCTACTTAAACTAAGTTATTTCAAGTATTTTCATTAGCAAGACACAAAAGTATTTTAGCGATTACGAGTAGCAAATTACGATGTATTGAATATCTTTCCTATCATATAATTTAGATTTATCTTTTTGAATATTTAATTTTCTATAAACTTTATTCTTGAGTCCCAACTTGGTTAATATCTTTCTACTTGTGTGATTTATATATTTTTTTGCCTTTGCTTAGTTTCTTTTACGTTGTTGTAGAATAGTTGATGGATCTATACTCTAGTCATCTTTCATTTTTTTAAAATTCATCACCCTTTAAACAGTAAAAATGTCTAGAGAGTTTTGCTAAGTCCTATAAAAGAACATATATTATTGTATTCTACTTCTACTAGTGAATTTTACATGATAATTAAAAAAATACCAAAAATTAACCGAACCGTACTGATACCGAAGAGAACCCGACATGATTGGGACGGTTTCGAAAAGTCTAATTTTGGTTATACATAATAGAATAACCGAAAAATTAGTTTGGTACAATTATTTTTAAAATAACCGACTAAACCAAACCATTGACACCCCTAATTGCAATGCATTTTGACATTATTTATACTTTTTACGGAAAATGGCTTAAACTATCCTCATCGTTTAGTAAATGGTTTGCAAATGCCCTCTGTCCACCTATTCGTCCAAAGAAGCACACGACGTTAATTTTATTAATAAAATTACCCCGCGACTAACGGCAGAACATATGAGCCTTCTATTTAATGACATGTCGATTTTTCACTGGGCCACGTGGCAATCTCGGTCAGAATATTTCGACCCTTTTATCTGATCCGGCACTATTACTTTAAGCAGATTAGAAGGGAAGAAAAAAAAACCAAATCTGACACTATTAAAATCAATCAAGAAAACCCATGATAAAAAGATTCACCAACCAAAATAAAGCTTACAATCAGGACAAATTTCATCAAAACCCAAACACCAATAAACCAAAAATACCAACAAATAACTTAAGGAACTGATCTTTAGCCCCTAAATCCAAAAGGGTCTTCTTCAGAATTTGTATTTAGCACCAGCAAAGCAAAAAAATCCAATCCTTTTTTCAATAAACGAAGAAATAGCTCAAAAGAACTTAGCTTTAGCCCCTAAATCGAAAAGGATCTTATTCAGAATTATAAAACACCATTAAAGACCCAGTTGAAAGAAGGAAAAAACTAAAAATGAACACCTTTATTCAACTGAAAATGAACCTTAAACATAATCCAACTCTAAAAAGTAGCTCAAGAAGTAAGAATTGTCTTAGATCACATAATGAAACTACAAACCACACACTTTAACCAAAGTAAGATTGTATTCTCTCTTGAGTAAAGAATATGTTTCGAATTGTAATTGCTGTAAATTTGTATTCTCTTGTTCTTCTCTCTTTTGCAAGCAAATTGAAGTCATATCTATTTTTAATTCCCATTTTTAGAGCATGTTGGAAAGCCACAAGGGAATTGAATTTGGGTGTAATTGAATGTAATTACATAGTTTGACTTGTTTGTTTGGCCAAGTAATTACTTGGTGAGTAGGGATTTGGGTGTAATTGAGAGCGAGGCATGGGACTGCATTATAAACCAAAGCTAAAACAATTTCAGTGAAAGCATTTAGGTAGATTTCATCTAAAAGCATGAGCGAAAAGAGCTGCACAACCAAAATTCAAATTTTATTGATAGAACTGCAGCAATATATTTGCCAAGATTAGTGGCCATACAACACCAAAACTTGGATGTGAGTCGTGACTTAAAAATTGGGTTAAGTTTGCATTAGTTTATTTTTGCTTGGTGGCAAAGTTGTCGAGGCCTCCGTTAAACATGGCCATTGAACCCAATTCTTAACATTCAAATCTTTGGTAGAAGAGTTGAAGGATCAGAAGGAACATCAGCACTTGCCTGTCAAGAAAAGTAATTCTAGTGAAACTTCAATCGATATAGTCTCAAAATGTTAAGGAAAGCTTAATAGAAACATCAAATTTCTGCAAGAAACCTACTTATCACCCAACAAGAAAAAGGATCTGCAATGAACCCTCTGTCGTGTTGTTAAGGCTAGGTACTAGGAACAAAGGACATTTATCCTGAGCCTTGGTGGCATAGTGATTACAACAAACAACAACAACCCAGTATAATCCCACTAGTGGGGTCTGGGGAGGGTAGTGTGTACGCAGACTTTACCCTTACCCTGGGATAGAGAGGTTGTTTCCAATAGACCCTCGGCATCCTTCCCTCCAAGAACTCCCCACCTTGCTCTTGGGGTGACTCGAACTCACAACCTCTTGGTTGGAAGTGGAGGGTGCTTACCATCAGAGCAACCCACCTTGTCATACGGTGGCGTAGTGATTATGAACCTCTATCCAATTTGTTTGTACCACCATATTGTTGCTAACATTTTACATGTCACTCTTACACCACAGGTCAGGGAAAATAAAGAGGGTTATGTAACAAACTCACGAGGCAGTCTAGAACAGTTTATACAAAATCATATGAAACATTTTCCATAAAATGTTTTCCAATTTTCTCATGTTTGGTTGGCTTAAAATGTTTTGGAAAACATTTTCCTCCAATTGAAGGAAAATCCCTATCAAGAGAAGGGAAAACATTTTCCAAAACATTTTTTCAACCTTTCCCGCCCTATTCCCCATTCCCACTAACCCCCACCAACCCACCCCATCCATCCCAC